AAATATTTTTCTACAGCGAGCAACTCCAGAGTCCTAAAATCGCTCTGGATAATTATCACTTTCTTGGATTTCAGCAAATGGCTTCGTGTGAAACCTCAACCCCCCCACCCCACCCCCCCGCATTTCTGAAAATCCCAGTTCCCTCCTCCCCGCATCAGCGGAGACCCGCTCCTACCCAGCTGGGTACATCGGTCTGAGGTAATAGAAGCTGAACCAGGGCTTCCAACCAGTTCGTTCTGGTTCCACCCCCTGCCAAGAATTTGAATTTCCACCTGGACATGCTGAATCAGAATCTACATCTTAACAAGATTGGGGGATCTTGTTAAGATGTAGATTCTGATTCAGTATATTTGAGTGGGAAATTGAGCTGAACCATCTTAACTGCCCTTTCAGCCTTCCAGACTTCTGGGGACAGGGGGGCTGGCTGAAGGATCTGGGGATGGGAAGAGAACCAGGGTTCCATGACTGGAGGGATCGCTCTGGGAGAAGATGGAGGTTAGACTGCATTCAAGACAGCCAGGAATTGGGAGGGGGGCCTGGGAGCCCTGGAGCCTAAGGGTCACCCAGCATCCTTCCCAAGACTTTAATTTCTGGACTGAACACAGAGACCCTCTTTGGGCTGGAGGGGCACCCTGTGTGGGGCAGGGAGCTGTAGCAGTCCATCTGGACTGAGGAAGGGTCTGGAAATGCTGTGGGAAGAGCAGCGATTTCCATTATTCCTTGACATAGAGTTAGTTCTTCCTGCAATCAAACCGCAATACTTACTACAGGCATGTCAGCCCTTGCTCTGCCTTTTCTGAAATTAAAGGCCAAAGGATAGAAATTTTCCCTTCAGAAGGCCTAGATGTCACTCCTCCCTCACCCATCTTCTCTGGATTCCGGCCCCTGTCCCTAATGGATGAGGGGGTGGCCTGGCATACCCCCAGACCCCAGCTGGAGAGTAAGATCCAGACCTAACCCTGTTGTCTGTCTTCAGTCTGTTTGTCCTCCCTGCAGGGTCCGTCAGAGCCACGTGCCCTCCTCAGGCCCTGCGGGGGGGGGGGGGGGGAGCAGATTGAAAACAGACCTGTTAGACAAACAGAGTCCCGAGTCAACCAAGGCCAGCTGAGCCAGCCCCCAGCTCTGTAGGCAGCAGGGGCTGGCTGGAGGGATGGCCCCTCTGACTCCAGCCTTGCCTCCCAGGAACCTCGGTCTCTTCTCATTCCCATTTGTCCCACTGGAGGGCCCCCCTCCTGACGAGGGATGCTCAGATATTTGGGGGATGCCTGTCTCATCCAGTGTGGTGCTCATGGCACACACTGCTGCTGTAATAGGAAAGATGGAGGTTAGATAGCAGGATAGACTTTCCAGCTAGAGGCAGAGAGTGAAGTGGTCCTTTTGCCCACTACCAAGTCAATGGGGCCTGGGTACACGAACTCTAGTTCTCCCTGGCCCTAATAGATCAACAGCCAAGAGGTGGGCTTCCAAGGTCTCCTGAAGGACAGGGCTCCCCCTGCCTCTCCCTTGTGTTTGAGACAGGAGGAAGGGGACTGGTGTTGCTCTAGGAACCCAGATCTGGACCCAGGGTCAGGGAGTCTGAGCCAGATCAGGGGCAGAGGAACCCCACTTGCCTGGCCCAGCCCAGGCTGGCCCCCTTCTCAGCTGTTACTTCCCGAAGGGTTCTGCTCCAGTTCAGCACAGGAGGCCAGGCCAGGCCAGGCCAGGCGGGGGTGTAGAGCTTAGGCCTGGGCCAAGGCCAGAAATGCTTCCCTACCTGCTGGTCTTCCCACCACAGGGGCCCTCTCCTGTCTCCCCCACCCCCCCTAATAACCAGGGAACAAAGAAAAGGGGTCCAATCTGGGGAAAGGCATGGGGGGCACAGGGGCTCAGAATCCACAGAGGCTGAATGAGAAGGCCTGACCCACCTGAGGTGTAAGGTGGGGGGCAGTGTCCCTTTCTGTCCTTTCTTTGGGGCAGGAGGGAGTTCCCTTAAGAAGAGAAGGGCATGGGAGCCCTCCAGGAGGGCAGATGAGCCGGAAATCTGATGCAGGGAACTTTGAGCCCCAGCTCTGATGTTCTCTTTGCCTTCTCTTTTATCAGTAACAATAATAGCAACAATAACAAGAGCCGCTGTTCCCCAAGAACTTAAAGGTGTGCCTGGCACATGTGTGCTAGGTCCTGAACACACACCCTCCCATTTGATAGGCGTTTGAAGAGGCTATTATTTCATTTTTCAGTGGAAGAAACTAAGACTCAGAGAGGTTATGCCATTTGCCCAGGAAGACCCAGCTGGTAAGGGGGCTAAGCTAGATGGAAATCACAGTCTAATGGCTCTGGCTTCCCAGGCCTCCCAGGCTGCTGGCCAGTCTAGAGAGGGACACAACTGTTCCACGTTCACCTGCTGAGGATTCCTGCTCAACTGCTAACCTAAAGATTGGTGGTTTGAATCCACCCAGTGGTGCTGCAGAAGAAAGCTCTGGCGATCTGCTTGCATAAAGATTACAGCCAAGAAAACTCTATGGAGCAGTTCTACTCTGTAACACAAGAGGTCACCATGAGCTGGAATCGACTCAGTAGCAATGGGTTTGGTTTTAGTTTTTTCTCCTGTTTAGGAGAGGCAGAGACTGGGGCAAACAAAGGCCTTCCTGGCCCCAGACAGAGGGGTGGATAGAGCAGAGGGAAGTGGCCCCTACTTTCTAGGACATGATCCGAGGGGCCTGATTGGGGAGGGTCCGCCCTGCACTGGGGCAGGGGTGAAGACACAGTGACCCAAATGAGCCCACCCCAGAAGAGGTGGACAAAGGGCCGGAAGTCAGGTGAGCAGAGCCAAGGTGAGGCCTGCAGCAGGGTGCTTGCTGCATGAGGGGCACAGAGAAGAGCTGCCCCAGAGAACCGTGTGAGTGCAGAGCTGAGACTTGGGGAACCCCATCCAGGCCTGCAGGCTCAACGAGGTGGGGCCACAGCAGGAGCAGGACTCCTGAGGGCAGGGCACTGGGCTTCGCCACCTGCCGTCTCTGCCCAGGTACCTTCCGGGACACCCAGACAGACTCCCTCCCTCCACCAGCCACTCACAGCCCAGCCAGCTCCAGCTGTCCGGTGGGGGAGGTTAGGTATGGGCAGGTGCCTGGAGCACCCCAAAAGGTGAGCCTCTCCCCTCTACAGGCGTGAACATGATGTTGAGAAAGATTGCCGTGGCTGCGGCATCTAAGCCAGCGGTGGAGATCAAACAGGAGGGAGACACTTTCTACATCAAAACCTCTACCACCGTTCGTACCACGGAGATCAACTTCAAGGTTGGGGAGGAGTTTGAAGAGCAGACCGTGGATGGGAGACCCTGTAAGGTGAATGCCAGCAAGGGGCCCTTGGGATCATGGCATCCATTGCCCTCCTCAACACGCCAGTTCAGTGTGTCCTTGAGTCTTTTTTCCATTCCTAGGGGAGGAAGTCCCCAGTGTTGGTGGGTAGGGGAACAGGTAGGGGGCCCAGCCTTTATTCCTCCTGCTGCATTTCCTTGGTGTGGAGCCAGTTCACTTGACCACCTCTCCCTTGCAGAGCCTGGTGAAATGGGAGAGTGAGAACAAACTCATCTGTGAGCAGAGGCTTCTGAAGGGAGAGGGCCCCAAGACCTCCTGGGCCAGAGAACTGACTAACGATGGCGAGCTGATCCTGGTGAGCCCTTCTTCCTCCCGGCTAAGAACAAACCCAGCCTCACCTTGCGTGATTATTTGGGAGACTCTAAGGTGCAGGAAGCTCAAGGACAACCATGGTTGGTCTCCCCACCCTCCTGATGGGGCTGCTGGAACTGAATTACGCTGTTCCTATCCCCTGTGGTGCCCCTTCTGTGTGGAGCAAAGGCTCCCAACCTACAAGATGGCACCCTGTTGTCAGAGAATCAGAATTTGGGAACGGAGTGCTCTGTGCCTTCCATCCTGAGCAGGGGTCTGCCTTGCATATGTCAGCAGGGACAAGCACTGAGGGGCCCCAGCAGTTCTCCGGGCGATCTACTTGGCTTGGGGAGGGGGCGGTGGGAGGGGTCCCTGGGACTCTATTGCTATCATCCCTCCAATGATGCCCAGGCATTCTGAGACCAGCTCGTGCCTGTTGTCCTGAGCCAAGAAGCAGGTTTGCACCTGGAGGCCATTCAACCCTCCTCCCCCAATGCCACAGGACCCAAGGGGCCTCCCAGCTAACAATTACTTCTGTCTTTCCAGACCATGACGGCAGACGACGTTGTGTGTACCAGGGTCTATGTCCAAGAGTGAGTGGCCATGGGTTTGAGCTGCCCGAGGCCACCCCAGCCCATGCTCACCACCCTACTCCCATTCTGTCCCACCCCCTCCTTCTAGGCTAGCTCTCCCCTCACCCTGGTCACTTCTGGGAGTCACTGGGTCTCTGCTTTTTTTTTGACCCCTTCTCCCATCCCCATTCCACCAAAGAGGGATGGATTGCAAGAGCCCAGATCACCCACTCCGGAATCACTCTCCCCCCTCCCCAAGTCAGCAGTCCCAGCCCTTAGGTCTCTGAGGGCACCTAAGGGCCAGAGTGGGCAAGACTGGTCCCCTGGCTTCCTCACTTCGTCCCTGTAGCCTATACAGTTTAGAATATTTATTTTGTTAATTTTATTAAAATGTTTAAAAAAATAAATAAACTGGTTTCTGATTCAGTGGGAAAGGGGTAGATATGTTGTCTGAGTTCAGCTTTGCCTTTGAAACATAGTGTGGGGAAGAGGTGATGTTTCGGCAGCATGGATTTGAGTTGTACAATGGGGATGGGGAGAAAACAATCCTTCCCTTCCTCCACTTCCTCTCCTCCAGCCTCCTTAGTCCCCTACTCTGGCTTCCAAATCACCAGGGCCTCCTCCTCCTGACCTCCTGCAGGCACAATGCCATCTCTTCTCATGTTTTCCCTGATAGTAAAACAGCTTTCTCCTCCTCCTCCAATTGTTCCTTCTCTCTCCTCCAGCCCCCATCTGTGGGCAGCCCCAGGCCTAGCCTCAGTCTCCCACATGGTTCCCCAGATGAGCTCATACACGCCCACGAGCTGGCCCTCGCTCCTGCCCAGGTCTCTTGGCGAGCGGTCTCATCCTGCCTGTTGGCCCTCTGTGTCTAAGACAAGGCCATCTCTGTTACTGTCCTCCGTCCCTGCCTTGAAATCTCCCATCCACCCCTTCTGCCCCTGGCTCCTAGATCTTCCAGGCCCCCAACCCCCTGAAGAAAGGTCTGGTGATCTACTTCCACACCCACGTCTAAGTCTTCTCAAATTCCTTCATGATCTCTCGCAAACCCGTCCTCTTCTCCCTCCCAGGCCACTGCCCTAGATCAGAACCTTCTCATTGCTGGCCTGGTTTTATATAGCAGTGGCTTCTGACTGGTGTGCCTGTCTTGCATGACAGAGTAAGATGAGCACAGGTGTTGGAATTAAAAACAGGAGTTCAAATCTTGCTTCTACCATTAACTAGTTGTGTAGCTTTGGGCAAGTTACTTAGTTTCTGTGAGCCTTAGTTTTTGGGTTTTTTTTTTAAACCGAAAATAATGTGATTGAATGGCTTATGTAATGGGAAGTTCCAGCTGGGTCTAGCTTCAGGTGTGGCTAGATCCAGGGTCTCCAACAAGGTCCTCAATTTTTCCCTCTTCAGCCATTCCTGCTCATTTCTGGGTTGTTTTTTGTTTTTGTTTTTGTTTTTGTGCATTGACCAGATTCAGTCTTGTCACAGAATTTTCTCCAAGTCATGGGAAATTGGCTTCTGACATCCCAAGCTTATATGGTTATAGCTTGAGATCCAAAAAAGAGGAAGACTCCCAGGGTCATGTCTTCAGCCTCCCAGAAGAACTTCATTTGGTCCTGCTTGGATCACACAACAATCCCTTGGACTAGCCGCATTTGGCAGGGAAAGGGGCCCAGCGATTGGCCGGGCCTGGGCCTCATCACACCTATGGCCAAGGAACAGGTGGAGCCCCGTGAATGAGAATCCCGCCATAATCCCATGGGATGGGAAGGAGAAGTTTTCCAATGAAAAGGGGCATTGTCTTAGTCATCTAGTGCTGCTATAACAGAAATACCACAAATGGATGGCTTTAACAAAGAGAAGTTTATTTCCTCACAGTTAAAGTAGGCTAAAAGTCCAAAGTCAGAGCATCAGCTCCAGGGGAAGACTTTTTCTCTCTGTCGGCCTTCTTCTCTTCAGTGTTCCCTCGGACTAGGAGCTTCTCTGAGCAGGAACCCCAGGTCCAAAGGACACTCTCTGCTCCCGGCACTGCTTTCTTGATGGTATGAGGTCCCCAATTCTCTGCTTGCTTCCCTTTCATTTTATCTCTTGAGAGATAAAAGGTGGTGCAGGCCATACCACAGGGAAACTCCCTTTACATTGGATCAGGGATGTGACCTGGGTAAAGGTGGTGTTACCATCCCACCCTAATCCTCTTTCACATAAAATTACGATCACAAAATGGAGGCCAACCACACAATTCTGGGAATCATGGCCCAGGCAAATTGATACACACATTTTTTGGGGGACATAATTCAAACCATGACAGGCACTATGACTCATAATTTTCTTATCTGTATAGAATGGCAATTATAACATCCACCTCACAAGTAGTTGCTGTTAGCTGCCATTGAGTTGGCCCCCGACTCATGGAGACCCCACGTGCAGTGTAACGAAACACTGCCCCGTCCAGCACCATCCCCATGACTGGTTGCAGATCGGACCATTGCGATCCATAGGGTTTTCACTGGCTGATTTCCAGAAGTAGATTGCCAGGCCTTTCTTCCTAGCCTGTCTTAGTCTGGCAGCTCTGTTGATAACCTCTTCAGCATCATAACTATATGCAAGCCTCCTCCAACAGACGGGCGGTAGCTGCGCACGAGGTGCATGGGCCAGGAGTCAAACCTGGTCTCTCGCATGGAAGGTGAGATTCTACCCCTGATCCACCAATGTCCACTTAACCATAGTAAGCTCTTGAAAAATTATAGTCCCACCTCTCTGAACCACCCTCCACAATGCTACCAGAACAATCTTTCTAAAACATAAATGTTATTGTATCACGGCTCTGTTTAAAAAACAAAACAAAAGCTCACCTTACCAGCCTCCCTTCTTTTTGTCCAGAATAAAGTCCAAACTGGTATTAGAGGCCTTCCAAGACATGGTCCCCGTCCCCCCTCACTGCACACCCTCCTCCGGGCAGGCCCCCAGCCCTCCCTCACTGCGCACCCTCCTCCAAGTAGGCCTCTGCGCAAACCCCTCCTGGATGGCTAGCCACCCTCTCTGCCCACTGGCACCAGCTCTTCTCAAAGCCTCGCTCCTCACAGCCTGAGGCAGCCTCTCCCTCCATCAGTGCGGTCACGGTCACGGTCACGCTGCACAGCCTCTGTATCCACAGAGGAGCCACCTCTCCTTGCAAGCCCATGTGCCCTGGGGCCAGACCTGGGCCTCACTCCTGCACCATGGCCCCGTGAGAGGCCACAGGCTGCATCCAGTGGGTGCCAGGGAGTGGGGAGAGGAGTCCAGAGTCCTTGGGACAGTGGGTCCCCTCTCTGACTGTGGGGTGAAGAAGGCGGCCCCTTCATTGATTCATCTAACAATTCTTTCCCAAGACACTCCAAGGAGCCCTGGTGGTGCAATGGTTAAGCACTCGGCTGCTAACTGAAAGGTGGGCTGTTTGAACCCACCTGCTGCTCCTCGGGAGAAAGATGTGGCAGTCTGCTTCCGTAAAGATTACAGCCTTGGAAACCCTATGGGGCAGTTCTGCTCTATCCTATGGGGTAGCTATGGATCAAAATCCACTCGACAGCAGTAGGTTTCCAAGCAGGCCAGCGCCTGGTACCGTCCCGGTGCTGAGAACACAGCAATGAATAAAACGGACAAGATCCCTGACCTTAAGGGGCCTGTGGGGGCAACAGAACTTTAGTGCAGATAGATGGCAATTAAAAAATAAATTGTTGTTGTTAGTTGCCATTGAGTGGATTCTGACTCATGGCGACCCCATGTGTGCAGAGTAGAACTGCTCCATTGGGTTCTCAAGGCTGTGATCTTTGGGAAGCAGATCGCCAGGCCTTTCTTCCGAGGTGACTTTGAACCACTTAACCAGGGACTAGAAGAAAAGAAAGCTCTAATAAATATATACTTGCATATTGTGGTAAGTGCTATGAAGAAGCAAACGGGGTGTGGATAGAGGGATGGGGGGACGTCATTTAGATTGGGGGTGAGGCAGAAGTGTCAGGTAAGGAAGGATTTTTGGAGGACAAAGCACTTAAGGTGGGACCTAAAGAAATGATCGGGTAAAGAGAACAGAGGAAAAGGTGCTTTAGGCAGAGAGAACCATGGGACAAAGACCTCAAGGCAGCAAAGTCCAAGGTCCAGGAGACAGGAGCGCAGGACGGCTGGAGGGATCGTCAGCGGCTGGATCATGGAGAAGCTGAAGGACCTGAAGACCATGGTAAATATTTATTTTATTCTAAGAGCGATGAGAAGCCATTGACGGATTTTAAAGAGGGGTGGCATCCTGCTAATGTTTTTAAGAATTCCCTCCGGCTACCAGGTGGAGGTGGGCTGGAGAAAAGGAGAGAAGGAAAAGCCTGTGGGAGCCTGATTAGGTGCTCCAGGCAGAGGGCAGAGATATATGGAGGAAAGTGCAGACCCAGTGATGCATTGGATGGGGGGTGAGGGGGGTGAGGGTGTGAAGAGTGGCTATTGGAAATGGTACAACCACTGTGGAAAACAGTTTGGCAGTTCCTCAAAAAGTTAAACATAGAACTACCATAAAATCAAACCAAACCCCTTGCCACTGAGTCGATTCCACTCATAGCGGACCTATAGGACAGAGTAGAACCACCCGATAGGGTTCCCAAGACTGTAATCTTTTTGTTGTTGTTGTTGAGAATATACACAGTAAAACACACACCAATTCAACAGTTTCTGCATGTACAATTCAGTGACATTGATTACGTTCTTCGAGTTGTGCAACCATTCTTACCCTCCTTTTCTGAGCTGTTCCCCCCACCCATTACCATAAACTAACTGCCCCCTAAGGTTCCTGTCTAACCTTTCCAGTTGCTGATGTCAATTTGATCCCATACAGCTAGTTCTTAAAAGATCCCATATAGCTAGTTCACAACGTGCAAGGCAGATATTTTTTACTAGTTAAGCTAAACTATTATTTGGTTTTAAGAAGACATCAGGGGATATTTTTGGTTTAAGGTTTAAAGATTATCTCAGGGCAATAGTTTCAGAGGTTCATCCAGCCTCCATCGCTCCAGAAAGTCT